CTATCTCCCATGAATAACACGCAACACTATTCAATTGTAAATATACTAAATTTTAAAACAATTCAGATATCCACCTTAAAATAGTATCTACACTCAGGGAATAGACACGATAAACTTAAACAAAAGAGCCCTCGCTCGTTCGTGACCTACTACGTAATTTACATTTATGAAACTTGTTTCAGTTTAAAAATACGTTGCTATTGTAGGCTGAAATATCGTAAATACAACAATTGTGATCATTATAAACCATTTTAGCTTATTTTCCTTACTTCCAAAAAACAGAACAGTTAAGTAGACAAAAGAGGAGGTTTACGAGTTCATCACACAATCTGTGTCTCTTTGTGTCCCATTCTAACTTCCGAAAACCTCTATCATTACTAGGAAACGGATAGGTTAACACGTACCCATAGCAACGAATGCACAGTTGGACGCTTCGTTTTCTGTGCGGTCCGCGTCATATGAGAACTTCATGCGCCTGTTTGTGAGTGTGCGCACGCTATATATTACATACATTGTGGCATATTTGCTCCAAACACTATGAAGTAACAGAGAAAGCCGTTACTGAGTAACGGCTTCGCAAACAAGCATGTTTCCACGGCAACAACTGGATACAATAACGGGAAGCGATGCTTTCTGCGGTGTCCGCGCCGAGGTATTATAAGCAGGACAAATCCAGAGATAGTTCTCCCGTGTGACGGCGTGGTCGAATACCGTTACACTGTGAGTGGCAGGAAACGATGAAAATTGAACCCCGTGCCTGGGAGATATAAATACGGGGACGGGGGAGTCCCGAAACTGAGACAGTAAAATGTGGTCATGATTCCCGTGGAACTCGAACCTGAGAATGACTAAGCTGGCCAGCAGCAATCGTACACGACAGATCCATCCTCTGGTCAGAGAGGATGTTACATGAGGACCATGACCGCCAAGCGTTCAGTTAAAAAAAAATATTGCTGGTCGTGAGTCTCAAGGGGCTTGACGTCAGGTCGAACTGATCGGCGGTAAATCGCCAGTGGTGAAGTAACTCTCTCCGACTCTGATAATTAGTTAGTCGAGAAAGCTGGTAGGTGAGGCAGGGAATGGTTTGGGAACCAAGCCGCTGAAAGCCGCTACCAAGCAACGGCTAGTCACATGCTGTATCCCGGCGCTTTTTTCCTTCAAGCCTTCAGCCAAATCAGAACTCCAAATACGAGGCTGAAGCCATCACATGAACCACACGAATGGCGCGCGCATTTGGTAATTTTTTAAAATTTTAATTTATGCCGCTCAATTTTACTGGCCACGACGCTTCGTATTAAATTTCCGACCTGTCAACACAGTCCCCCCGTGTTTGCCTGCTGTTCGCCCTTTCCTGCCCTGGGAGCCACACTGAAGACCGATCCTATGATTATGTGCAATGAGGCCACAGCCCCCGTAGGGCATTCTGAATTGCAGCGTAATGAGCCCGCCTCTCATAAACTTTCGCTCTACCCCCCCCCCTCGATACTTGCACGAACCGAATCTCAAGTACCCACCCGCGGAATTCCCCCCAGCCCCCTTCGGCTCTCGTTATAAACTCAATAGATGCTCTCAGAGCCTCTGAAACCTGTTAAATGGAAAGATGCCTCACATTCATAAAAAGAAAGTTCCTCTATATACGCGAGGAGCCGGGATAGCGACCGGCTACGGGCTGGAAGGCCGAGGGTTCGTAGTTCGAGTCCAATCCGTCCAAGACCGGCTCTGGGGCCTACAAAGCCTCCTATCCAATAGGTACCAAGGGCTCTTTCCCCGGAAGTAAAGCGGCCGGAGTGTGAAGCTGACCACTCAACTCCAAATACTGCTGATGTCAAGAATATATGGATAGATACATGCACTCCCCCCTACGTCTTCATGAAAGCTTAATTAGTTAAGCACAGGCAACATTTTATCTTATGCCTCTATGTATTGTATGTGCCTAGTGGTGGAAGAAGCAGCCATCTCGCAAAAAGCTAGGAACCGGCATAGCTCAGTCGGTATAGCGAAGTATTGGAAGTCTGGGGTTCGAGTGTCGGTGCGGGTCACAGATTATCTCCACAGCGTCCGGACCGGCTCTGGGGACACCCAGCCTACTACCTAAGGGATACCGGGGGCTCTTTCCCGGGAGGTTAACGTGCCCACTCACCTCAATCTCATGGCGAGGCCAATAATTGTGGAGCTATACCTCCACTCCCTACACACCTTCATGGTTTTGTGTTTAATGAATGAAGCACATGGATACTGTTACCATTTTTAACCAGTGGACTACAAATTTCACCGGTTTGCAACATGCGTTCTTTGAAAGCATTTTGCTAAGGTAATTCAGTTTCCTATATCTTATCCAACAGTTATCGGGGGATCTATCTTCGGGAGTAAAGCGGCCGGAACGTGACGCTAACACTTCACCTCCATCTAGTACTCAAGTGAAGAACATGTGGATCTGTACCTCTCTCATACGCCTTAATGGCGTGGTGTTTAGTCTTGTGGATATCTACCAGTGTTTCGAAGAAAGGTTCTGCTTCTATCTTCATGTCTACCCTGAAATCTGAATCTCACAAAAAATTTACTGCTCGTTATAACAGGTACGTTAATTATCTGTAATATAATGTGACATATGGATCGTTTCTATAGCAACAGAGGAACGTCCGTAAACATTCTCGCAGCATTGAATAGAGGCAACAACAGAAGAACTGCCGTTTCTATGCGACGGCCGGTAAACATCTTCCCTTTAAGAACGTGACAACAATAGGGAATCCACTGTTATGAGATACGCACTGTGACTGGTTACTATGTTAAGCAAATATTCTGAATGGAAGAGGTTTTCTATGCGGTCCGTGACGCTGCTATATTACAAGAGCTCTGAGCTGTAAGATTACCCCCGTGTGGAGGCGGGATCGAATACTTTCAACGTGACCCTGCGAGTCGTAGGAGGCGACGAAAAGGGAAGTCTGAAATCTGAGAGAGTAAAATAGGGTCCCGAGTCCCAAGGGACTAGGACCCGAGAAAGACTGCGCTGGCAAGGCCAGCAACATGTACAAAAGACAGACCCGTCCTCTCGTCAGAGAGGGCGCCCCACAAAAACAAGATCGTAACTGTCACACAGTAATAAATACCTGGCCATGAGCCCCAGACTTACAGACTGACCGTCAGTCGCAATGTGACTTTCACTTTTTAAGATTGGAGCGAACTGGAACTAGCAGTTGTTGAGTCCGTGTTCATAGGTGATGAAGAATTAAAACTCAGCCTGTGTGATTTGAAGACTTTATGTGTGCTGCAGTGCAGTGACATCTGAGTGTGACAGTTATATTCTGTGCTAAAATCTGTTGCTAGGAAACGGATAGGGAAAACTGCAGAGGAACAGCAATTGTTTAGATGTTACGTAGCAACGACTAGTGTAAACAGATACAGACTTTATTTAAGTGTTATAATTCCAGTAATGTTTAAAGTGTTATAATTATTTGTAGTTACGACTAGCGAAGATCCAATAAATCGACTCACCGATCCAAACCCGCGGTTTTAGTCACTAATACACGTGACAAATGGTATTGCCACTTCGTATTCAGAGAGATTTGAAGATGGAAGCAGAAGGTTTTCTTTCCGAAATGTTGGTACGCATCTAATTACAAGGTATCGCAACCCAGAAGACCGTGTTGATCTACCCTGAATATGGAGGCATCATATACCGAACTATAAACCATCATTCAAGAAGACCATATTGTACAAAGTGCGTGGCATCACATCCCAGAGGACCCTACCTTCATTTTAAACACATCCCCAGTCATCTCAGACCATAGACCCTAAGTATAACAACCCTGTGATCCGAGATACATAGGGGCCAATTAAGATTTCCTTACTTAGCGCGAGGTACCAGTATTCCTTGTGAAGACAGAACCAATTTCAAGGTAAGCTTCAAAGAACAATTCACCCTCCAATGCACAAAGCTCGGTGATCTCCCCTGCGCGTCCTCACCCTTTCAAACAGTAGCACCATCCTTAATCACACATAATTATGATATCCACTAGCAGATCATATATAAAGCTCTCTAGAGAAGACAGCGCGCACATATAATTAGGTTCTGATTGGACTCTTCAATTATACTAATTTTCCTTCCCCGTCTTTTTAGCATATGATTTATAATGGAGGGTGGATGATTCCTTTTAATCGGAGAAAAAGGGGTGAAATCGGATGCCCAGGATCAATATCACCAGTAATATTTCCCTGGAGAATGAAGATACACATATCTGGAGAGAAGCGTCGTTTCCTGTGTCTTTCCTCTGTCCATTACGGAGCCGCTAGCTCTGATTGGCTGCTCGTGGGACCAAGAGAGGGAAATTCTGAGGCGATATCCACAACACGTCACACCTTGTGTAGCCAACTTTACAGAAGAAACATCCCTACCTTCGTTGTATGCATCCTGTTGTCTATCGTAATTGACGGTGAAAGGCTTGGCAGTCGACATAACAATATTTAACTAAATAAACAAAGGTAACTCTCTAAACAAAGAAAAAACAAACTCCGCGACGTGTAGTCCGCAAACGAACTACACCCACCGAGCGACCAACGCTTGTCGGCGAAGTTAGTGCCAACTTTAGCGGATAGAGGGTGTCGCGTGGTCAGCGCAATGGTTCCCCACGGCCGTTAATCTCGGGTTTCTAGACCGGAGCCGCTATTTACTTGAAATAGCTCCTCAATTATGTTCACAAGGCCGAGTAGACCCCGTTCCAGAGCCACTACTCTCAACAGTTGGTTTATTTTAGTGGGTACTACACGTTTCGGTTCTCGCGAAACGTCGCGTTCGCTAGTTTTCTAGAATAAAGGATGATGTGCGAAGTCCAAGAACCCAGTAATTCTGAGTCTTAGAACCCTTTAGAATCTACTTCTGTTTTGTGTAATACATTTTCGTTGTATGAAACATGTCCGGCTACGGCAGTCTTTACCTTACATTAATACATCACAAGCGTCAAAACTATTTGAAAAAACTACGTAATAGACAGTGTGTCACTTACCTTTCCGACGCCAGTGACCTCCTTGACGCCAATACGACGAAGCAGCGCCGGTGGGACAGGGGGCGGAGCCCTGCGGATAGCAGCGCTGAATCCTGTACCCGGGTCATCCTCCCCAGAAGAATGACGCTTCCGCCGATGTGGTGATGACGTCAGATTCAACTTCTGGGCAGCCCTGCACCCAAAAATTTGATCTTGTTAGGGAGGGTAATGTCTTCAATTATATTCTTCTGAACACAACGCTACTTCCAACAAGTGGAGTTTGCTGTCCATTACGACAGGTTTCGGCTCATGTGTGCCGATATTCTGTTACAATTACTCCTTCATATACAAAAACAAACTCAGTGGTTTCAGTCCGCAAGCGAACTATACCGACCTAGCGACCGCAGCTTATCGGCCAAGTTAGTGCCAACTTTAGCGGATAGAGGGTGTGGCGTGGTAAACGCACAGAATCGAACCCGAACTTCTGGATCTGTAGCTGGGCGAGCCTTGGCCTCCTCTACTACCAGTCTCCACAACCAATGCGTGCTGGCATAGGAATGGACCCACTCATGATGACCCGAGGCTGGCTGTTAGGTCTCGAAACAAAATCCTTTTTACAGGATGAGGTTGTTAGCCTCATGCCCAGCCCCCAACCTCGAGGACCAGGATATCTCTCTTAGTCTGGACTCTACCCCTTGACCTTTCCGGCATGGATGACCCTACTGGTAGTAAAACTACCGCCGGCATAGCTCTCCAGGACAAAGAGCGTGGTCAGCGCAACGGATCCCCACGGTCGTTAATCTAGGTTTTCTAGACCGGAACCGCTACTTTTCTATTCAAGTAGCTCCTTAATTATCCTCACAAGGCTGAGTGAACCCCGTTCCAGACCCACTAGTTCTCAGATAATCCGGTAGCACCGGGAATCGAACCCGGGACCTCTGGATCTGTAGCCAGGAACTCTGACCACTAGACCACAGAGGCGGTAGTGGTTTTCAGACTGCCCTTAATATTTAGAAACAGACATAGGTAATCTACAATGTAGCTGACATTCGCAAGTCGAAATATTCACCAACAATGCATTCTGTACATTAAATAATTTAAAAAATTAGCAATGCTGTGTATGTTTTCTTTTGGCTCGTCTACAGACACGCTCAGTGTAATCACAGCCAAGAAAAAGAAAACTACAAGAAGTACGAGCAGCGGAAATGGAAGAGAAAGACAAGGACAGAGACGTGGAGGATTTTCCAATTTCACACGCCTGTGCTCCTGTAACATGTAACCACACCTTCCCCACTACCCAAGGGGCACGAGGCGCTCACACCTTGAGCGGGGAGGGGCCTCTCTAATGGTCCACAGAATTCAGCGTTGCGCATAAAACGGAGACTTCTAATTCTCGTGGCCAAGACAAATCCTATAATGTTTCAAATGCCCTTACTCGGCAGAGAACAATGAATGACTTTGCTGATAATATCTGATCCTAAAATGCGTTCCATAAGTATGCTTATCATAGAAGCATGAAGGAGACTGCAAGCGGCATCTGATCCTAAAATGTGTCCCATAAGTATGCTTATCATAGAAGCATGAAGGAGACTGCAAGCAGCATATGATCCTAAAATGCGTTCCATAAGTATGCTTATCATAGAAGCATGAAGGAGACTGCAAGCGGCATCTGATCCTAAAATGGGTTCCATAAGTATGCTTATCACAGAAGCATGAACGAGACCGCAAACAGCATCTGATCCTAAAATGCGTTCCATAAGTATGCTTATCATAGAAGCATGAACGAGACTGCAAACAGCATCTGATCCTAAAATGCGTCCCATAAGTATCCTTATCATAGAAGCATGAAGGAGACATTTAACAGCATCTGACTCTAAAATGTGTCCCATAAGTATGCTTATCATACAAGCATGAAGGAGACTGCAAACAGCATCTGGTCCTAAAATGTGCCCCATAAGTATGCTTATCATAGAAGCCTGAAAGAGACTGCAAACAGCATCTGATCCCAAAATGTGTCCTATAGGCATGGACTGATCTGGCGGTCTATTGTGAACACGGTACTGAAACTTCGGAATCCGTAAAGTGCTGTTAACTACTTTACTGCCATTAAGTTCATCATCATGCCTGGATTTTAAAGAAATCGGACTGGAGGGTACGGAGTGGATTCATCTGGCATAGGATAGGGATTAATGGTGGGAACAATGTGAACGCGATAATGAACCTACAGGTACCAAAACAAAAATGTTAACTGCTTTACCGACATTAAGTTGACCTGCAGGTCTGGACTTTACAGAAATCGGATGGACGGATGTGGAGTGGATTCATTTGGCATAGGATATGGATCAGTAGCTTTCTACCGCGAACATGGAAATGAATCTTTGGATACCACAAAATTCTGCCCGTTCTTTTACTGGCAATAAGTCTACAATTATACCTGGCTTTTAAAGAAATCATATGGAAGGGTGTGGAGTGGATTACTCTGGCTTAAGGTTTAAATTAGTGGCGAACAACCTTCCATATAATGATGAGTATACCCCGCCTATCTCTGGAACTACAAGGAATCTATCCCATGGAGCCAGTTAATTCAGTTCCCATATCGACTCTCTTTATGGTAAAGCTATTAACTTCTGTGAAAATACATGGACCCGTGGAACGCAGTTTGGACCCCAAAAGTCTAGTTTGAGACTTCCCCGAAGAAGCTGCTCGCAGCCTTCCAACCCCCTTCTATCAACAACGATCAATCATTTTAAGGGAGTTTTGTGAGTCAGACTTCCTTCAGAAGGTAACAGTTCCTCCTCTCTTACGCCTCTGTAATCTGTCTCGCCCCGCTGCTAGGTCGCAACAGACGTTATTTACCAGGGGCAACACCGAGAAAGGCACCTGGTGCCTCCAAATAAACATTTCTGAGCTGACACAACCATATATATTTAAAAAAAAAAAGATGTCAGTTCCACTGAACACTCAAACACAGTAAATCAGATACATACAACGCGTATCTGTATTTATGGGCCCACTGGACCGGTCCAAACAGCAGAATGGTCATAAAAATCGGAATGTTTGAACGTTATTCAAAATACAATATGATTCTAAATTGCTGTCGGGGTTTCCGTGGCCTATAATTTTCAAACCAGAAACAATAAAATAAAACTGCTTATGGAATATTAAAGTGTATCTCAACAAGTTTTATTTAGCACCCTGCAGCATTGATTCTATAAGTAATAAAACTTTTTGGGTTACGCTTCCATATTCCGTAAGCTGTTCTATTTTGTTATTTCCAGTTTGAAAACCATAGGCGATGGAAATCCCGATAATAATTAAGAATCACTCTCTACTGTTTGCTCATATGTATATCGCTGGGTCCATATGCTTCGGATTACTATACATTCAAGCAGAGATGCGTTTTCTCGGTTCAATTCTCTATGCTCTTCACAACGCGGCGCCAACATCCTCAGTCTTGCAACAGCAACGTAATACCGTCGCATTCATTGTTAATAAGTTTCACATAGTTTTTTGGTACGTAACGCACTGACGGGTCACCCAAGTAACTTTACAGTCTTTACCTACACGTTGTCCGCTACATCAGCGCTGCCAAACGGAGAAGTTTATTTGTAAAAAACGAAATACAAAGCCTAACATTATAAAGTTTCCATATATTCATTTCAAGAAAGATCGAAAGCCTAATTTTACGTGGTTCTTAGATGTTTAAAAACAAAAAAACATACTTTATAATATGTCTAGATATTTAAAAAAAATGACAGCCTAACTTTCGAAGGTTTTTATTTATTTCTAAAAAAAAAACAGATCCAAAAATCCTTCCTTACGCGATTTTTAGATATTTATTTAAAAAACAAACGTGAAGTCATAAATTTACAAGGTTTGCAGATACTTATTTTAAGAAAACAAATTCGAATGTCCAACTTTAAAAGGTTTTAAAGATATTTCACTATCTCCCAGCTGTTTCGAAAGAACGCAGCGTTTTCACCTTCACAATCAGTGTGTAAGCAAAGTAAACCGAGGGCTCTGATCGGGGCTTGTTTGGTTTACTCTTTGACCCTGAAAATGGAGATATTATGTTCCTCCGAAATGTCGCGGAACATCTACCGGACTACGCGTTGTCACATCCCAAGTTACGGTTAGGGAACAGGAACTTTAACACATTTTCTCTCTCCTGAACCCTTTTCTGAGTTCCCACAGCTACAATCTCACATTTCTAATTCCTATCCATCTCTTCGCCTCAAACATAATTCTTTCTCTCACCCATCGTATTCCTTCATGGTTTTTATTACTTATTCCTAACAAAATTCCTATACGGAAAGCAAATACATTCTCTGCGTCACTGAGGTAAAATGGAAGCTTGGTTTAAATTAAGAACTTTACAATCCTTTCTATTTGATTCGTTACGAAGTTGAAAAGATTTGTTATGAATGCCTTCTATGGATTTTGTGTTATTACATTTCTCAGGAGCAAACTCCACAGCTCCTGCAATTACAACTTGGAATGCAAAACGATAATCATGTGACGTGATCATTAAAACAGAAGCAGCGTGTTATGCGTCGCTATTAAGTGATACTAATGGAGCTCAACAAATAAACTGCTGCAAAGATATTGACACAAACTTTCTCATATACGAAGAAAGCAGTCTTCTGGGATGTGGCACCGTGTAGACATGGTGTTAACCGACGTTTCGGAAGAAAGTATCGCACATCTACACGGTGCCACATCCCAGAAGACTGCTTTCTTCATAGTCACCGCCGTGAAAACCTCAAATCTTTCTCACATACGCTTGGCAGGTTTGGGCCTAAGGAAAATATGTCAGATATATCCCTTACAAAAGTAAATAATGTTTCAGCCGACACAGACTAAACTAAAAAACTAAACTCCGTGACTTGAGTCCGCAAGCGAACTACACCGACCGAGCGAAGTTAGTGCTAACTTGGCCAAGGCCCTGAACAAAATGGCCCAGTTACTCCTTCATATAGGGCTGAATATAAATATTATTAAACTACTCTCTACAGCTTCAAACAGAAAACAAATCCAACAGAGACACAATTTACATAGCCCCATATGAAAACTTTATCTAACACTGTGAAGTAACAAAAACTCTACGCTTTAATGGCAGAGGGTTGATGATCTAACGGGCGGTCTATCCCCAGATCTGCTCCATCACAGAGGTAAACTGGCTTATCTCTTCTG